CTAGATACATCTTTGTAATGGTTTATGAAACCTTTTAAGACAACAGCTGTCAAATTTTGACCTATTATTTCTATTGTCCTTTTCCAAAAAGCAAACGTATGTAGTGTGTTATGGTTATAAAAGAATGTTTGTTATTAAAGCTCAGATTGTGCAAAAAAAATATTGAGACTTGCCTGCCCTTCCCCTGTTCACCTGTTGGTAAGTGTCCTTCCAGAGGCTTCCTTGGGTCACCGTGTGCTTCCCTTACGTCTTGTACCATCCAGGCCCGTCTCTTGTACCATCCAGGCCCGCCTCTTCACTCCCTTGAAGCTCATTAGCAAAATTGCACAGTAACCTCACGTGTGCTGAACTCTATGCAGGCGTCCTCAAACTAATGCCCACGGGCCACATGCGGCCAGCAGAAGACATTTATCCGGCCCACCGGGTGTTTTTGCTGCCGCTGCCTGTCCTGCGGCCCTCAGTCCAGCCCTCCAACGGTCTGAGGGACAGTGAACTGGCCCCCTGTTTAAAAAGTTTGAGGACCCCTGAAATATCTCAAAAAGTATGTCTTGCCTCAAGATAGCCTGGTTTGGTTCTACTCCGTCCATAACACCAAGTGAATTTCTAACAAAGTTTCGTTTAATCTTGTTTTAAAAACATCTGTCTGTACTAAAACTTTCATAGTAACATTTTTGGGTTGTCAAATCACCTCTGCAACAAGGCAGAGTTTACATAATAGTTGATAGATTAAACACTGTGACAACTCTCGAGAATTATCGGGGGTGCTACTTTTAACTTTATTTGGGGGAAATCATTAGTCATCGGCTGTGAATAACAAATGCTTGCTCTTTTTCCTTGGAATTCCAAAGGCTTCTGTAGCGAGTGAATTTAAACTGTTTTAGCCAACTGAAAAGTATACACTCTCACCTTTCTTTTATCCTAATTTTTTAAACCCAATTTTACTCCTCACAGTTTTTGAAAGTCATAGACTTCTGGAAGATAAAAGAATGCTACCTGGTTCATTTAGTTTCCCTTTGGGGATTTTCTAAACCGTTTAGGATTAGATACCAAATACACATTACGCTACTCACCCATTGTTCCCAATTATAGTGTAATTCTGACCCTACTAAGCAAAGACCATCCTACAAGATGAAAATGTATTTATCAACCAAAAAACGGTGGGAAAGACTCACTTAAGATGTTTAAGGTTCTATTTCAAAACAGAATGTCTTTTCTTCGTGTAAAAAGTCGGACTATAAGCTAGCTACTTCAGTTTGTTATTTCTTTGTATAATCTATAGGATTTAACTGCTAGATTCCCAGAAAGGGTCTTTGAAACCAACTTGGCAGTTAGAACAAAGAAAACTCACGAGGGAAGAATCTTTTTTAAAAAAGAGAAAAACCAACCCACGCTCCTTTTTCTATAGCTCAGACATTAAAAGCAAGCTGGAAATAGGGTCTTTAGAATATTTATTAACTGCCCTTTCACTGATTTGTATATTTTATTATAAGACTAAAATCCACTTCTACTAAGGCTTAATTTTAGCTTCCTTTCGTTGGTTAATGTAGAAGAAAAACACAGCAGTGTCCTAGTGCCAGAAATTAAATGCTGACATTTCAGACAGAATTTCATTTTGATCCTTTTTTAGAGACAAGGGTCGCTGTTGCCCAGGCTGGAGTGGAGTACTGTGGTGCGGTCATAACTCACTGCAGTATCAGAGCTCTAGGGCTCAGGCCATCCTCCCACCTCCACTTCAAGAGTGGCTGGGACCACAGGTACACGCCACCACTCCAGGCTCAGATAGAATTTCATGAAAAACTCTTTACTTTTGGCTCAGCGCCTGTGGCTCAATTGGCTAAGGCGCCAACCACATACACCTAAGGTGGCGGGTTCTAATCCAGTCCGGCCCGCCAAACAACAATGACGGCTGCAACCAAAAAATAGTTGTGGCAGATGCCTGTGGTCCCAGCTACTTGGGAGGCTGAGGCAGGAGACTCGCTTGAGCCCAGGAGTTGGAGGTTGCTGTGAGCTGTGATGCCACAGCACTCTACCCAGGGGGATAGCTTGAGGCTCTGTCTCAAAAAAACAAACAACTCTTTACTTTTACTCATTTAAAATCTATATCCCATCTACTGGAACTATTTTACTTCTACAGTTAATTACAACTGATACTTATTGAGCATGTAGTCTGAGAACAGATCTGAACTGGGAATTCTTAGGTATTAAAAAGGCAGGTGGAGGCGGAGAGAGCTAAGATCCCAGGTAGAGCTGATGCGCTTATTGGAGAGGCAGTGCCCACGCAGCTCAGTCCTTGGATATTTAAACCGTATACATTGCCTAGACCTGTATCAATCAATAACGTTTTAACTACTTTAACTATAGGTACAAGTGTAGTAAATGATGGTAAAGAAGAAAGTTCGTGGGCAAGAATCCATTCCAAAATAAAATAAACATAAGGAAAATAGTAACCATCAGGGTGCTAAGTTGGAGTTAGAGGTTATGGAAAGAATGACATTTTTCCTCCAGGTCGTTTATTTGGTTTTACAAAACACTTTTTTTTTTTTTTTGAGTTTTAGAAACTACATTAAGTTATTAGCTCACGTTGTTGTGACAGAAGTGTCAGGCTAATGTAGCGTGTTCGTAAGAGAAATTGGGTGTGTGGTATGTAGGAATTTTTTATGTGGTATGTAGGAATTTTTTTATACTGTCTTCACGAGTTTTCTATAAGTCTACCACTATTCTAAAATTAAAGGTTTGCTTTAACAAGCATTCTAAATAAAGGCCCAGTGTGGTGGCTCATGCCTGTAATCCTACCACTCTGGGAGCTGAGGTGGGTAGATTGCCTGAGCTCACAGGTTGGAGACCAGCCTGAGCTAGAGTGGGAACTTGTGTCTAAAAATAGCCAGGCATGTGGTCAGCACCTGTAGTCCCAGCTGCTCAGGAGGCTGAGACAAGAGAATCTCTTGAGCCCAAGAGTCTGAGGTTGCTGTGAACTGTGATGCCACGGCACTCTACCAAGGGTGACAAGAGAGACTCTTGAAAACATTCATCCACAATTCCACCATGCTAATGCAGCTATTTTTGTCACTTAGATATATTCGTTTTTTGTTTGTTTTTTTTTGAGACAGAGTCTTACTATGTCACCCTCGGTAGAGTGCCTATAGCATCACAGCTCACAGCAACCTCCAACTCCTGGGCTTAAACGATTCTCTTGCCTCAGCCTCCTGAGTAGCTGGGACTACAGGAGCCCGCCACCATGCCTGGCTATTTTTCTTGTTGTAGTTGTCATTATTGTTTGGCAGGCCCAGGCCAGGTTCAAACCCACCTGCCTCAGTGTATGTGGCCGGCACCCTAGCCGCTGAGCTACAAGCGCCGATCCTTGATAGATTCTTTTATACATTTTCTTACATATAATTATAAACTGCAAGTGATTTTCTATTACTGTATGTCCTGCTTTTGTTATTTGATTTCTCAGAAACATTTACACAGTCTGCTGGATGGGCTTGCTGCTGTCATGGCAACATGATCTAAGTGTCTCTGACACAGAAATAGGTTCCGTTACTGAAGGTAGCAAAGTCGGACATGAGCAGGGAAGTAGGGCACGGGCGGTGTGAGCACACGGGATGCTGAGTAGGAGAATACACTGTGACAGTAACAAGATGTGTCACAAGAAGCATGACAGAAACCACACAAGGCACGTTATATGGCCTAACTTCCCCCTGCCCCCATGGGCCTTGGGGGCCAAGACACCTCTGGGCCTAACCACATAAGGTGAAAAACTCCCCTGCCAGATGGTGAGAAAAAGACAACATCCCTGTTGGTCTAGAAAAAAAGGGCCAGAGACAGTGCCACAAAGGAGGAGAGGCCAGACAGGAGACAAAGGTGACACAGAAACCCTGGGGTCACGAGTCATAGAAACCCTGTGCCCCTTTGACCTGCTGCACTTAGACTTAACAAACTCTCTCTCTGCTTACAGCACGTTCCTTGTCACTTGGTTTCATTTCTTGATCAGTCACAAGTAGGTAAGAACCAGTGTGTTCACATCAACCTTGGGATTAAGGGTGCAACCGGGAGCATATTCTAGGATGTGAGTCTGAGGGCCACGGTGACAGCTTTCCAGTAAATGGACTGGTGTAGACAGAAAGTCTGGGACAGAGTGAACTTTCCTGGGAGATCTCAGGTGCTTCAGCTGGGAGGTAAGTTGGGGTCAGCCTTGAACGTCAGACAGGGGGTGGTGGAAGAGAAGAGGGGATTGAAGTGATGGTCCCATGACCGTATCTGAGACCCCAAGGGGACTAGAAAAAAAGATGAGACTAAGTTTGAAGCCTCTGCCTAGGAAATGGTTGCTATTAACACTATAAATGGAGAGTTCAGGAAGATCAGATTTGTGTGTTGGTTAGGATTGAGTTTTGTTTGTTGGTTGAGAAAGAGAAGATAAAGGTTTGTGGAGTTTGGGGTACGTGAGATCTGTCACACCAGTGAGACAGCTTATGAAAACGCCCTGCTGGGAAGTGGGGCACTAGGTATTGGCTTAGATTAGGATTCGTGCACCAGGAGGTCATAGCTGAAATCCTAGGAGTAGATGAGATTGGCCAGGAAGATGGTCTTTGTAGCAAAGCAAGAGGAGGGCCAAGATGGAACCTTGACGAACACCTGATTTCACATGCAGGGGAAGGTCAGAGTGTAGAAGTAGCCGGAGGAATAGCCAGAGAAGGCAGCCTATTAACATTTGCTGACTGTTTACCTGTCTCTGATGAGACCACACTCCTTGAAGGCAGAGACTGTGTTGTCCTCGGTAGAGTGCTGTAGTGTCACAGCTCACAGCAACCTTCAACTCTTGGGCTTAAGCAATTCTCTTGCCTCA